ATCTACATTGTCCTGTATAAATTAATTTGATGCAATAAATGATAAGATCTTACTCTAAGCTTGTGCCACAATGTTCTGTTGTCATCCAACTCTTTGTTGAATTTGAACCCAAGGTATGTGAATGTACCCTTTGCTTTCAATAACTTTTCTTTCGTCCAACGTTCAAGAAGGGTCCTCATATACTCTAATAGTTCTACTATCGGTAGCTCTCTTGCATATTTTGTTATAACATTCAACGACTCTGCAATGTTTGATGTCATTGTCCAAGTTCTATTCACCGTAGCATGTACTCGAGACCATCTATGGTAGCCAATATCGTATAAGTATGCTTTAACCCCAGGGTCAAACTCTTCAATCTTTGACATCCTTTTATTAAATTCATCAAGCATGTATGACCGTGCCGTGACAAAGTACAATTCGCTTAACTTTAGATGTCCCTTCTTTAACTTTGCCCGTATATTTGTCCAAATATGCCACATGCAAGAATAATGTGGCATGCATGGATAAACAATAGATGTTGCCTTCAAGATACTCTCATTCCGATCCGAAGCAACACACATATTTGGTCTTTCACCATATGCATGTTTGAATTGCTCAAAAAATCACTTCCATGATGCGTCATTTTTTGAATCAACAACAACATATGCCAATGGTAATATGGTACCTACATTATGTGGCAAAAAGCAATTAATTGGGTGTAGGAAAAAATGCAGAAAAGACATATACATACAAACTACAACTTTTCTACAATATATCTACAATAAATCTGCAAGTACTACAACAAACATACAAGCTACAATATTTCTACAATAAACTTCAATACCTGCTGCATCCATTGTACTAGCAGTTAGCATTATTCTCCTGTATGCTGACTTTAAGAAGGTCCCATCAACTACTACAACTGACCTACAATATTCCCAACCACTGATTGACGTACACATCACAACAAATAATACAAGAAGCAGTCATCGTCCATCTTCTTCAATTTAACTACATACCCCCAATAAGACTTCTCCAGAATATACAAATAACTAGACAATTTGCTGTAGGAGTCAGCAGGATGACCTCTCAAAAACTGTAAAGCCTTTTCCTTTGCTCTCCAAGCTTGCATGTAGGTTAGATTCACGCCGTGTTTTGACAACATGTCAAATTGTATGTCTTTTGGTGTGTAAATTGTCTTAGGATCAGAATATTTTGGAATAACCATGCTACCAACTACCATGACAGTAGGTTTGCGTTGTATGAATGTATTGTCCATTAAAGAGCATGTGTGCTGGCTGTTGAAATTTCTGACCTTGAACATTACAGAATCATTTATGCTAGTTGTCTTGAAGTGCCATGTACAGTTTTCACCAATACATATCAGCCAGTAGCTACAAAATAAATACAATTTAAACACTGGTTTAAAATGTAGATTTAAAAAGAAAAAGACTGTTTTAGCTTAAACGATCACATTATACAATTTATATACAACATAACTACAATTCATTTACAATACTGATAAACATTATCACAAGAAAAAACTGAAGAAGTAAAAAATTACAAATAAACTACAAAAATAAAAAAATAATGATCTTTGACCATTCATATGTTCATACCTTCTAGCACTAGTTCTTTTAACCCTGAATTGGAACTTGTGCATGTGAGAATAGTGCTTCATTGCAGTTGCAATTGCTTGCTTGTCTTGATATACTTGTCCTACTTCAATAAAACTTGGTGTACACTGTTATTATTATACTTTCATATTCCTCTATAACGGGAGATGTTGGCATATCAAGTAACTTTAATGTTCCAGACGAACCTGCACAAAAATAAAGATAAATACTATTATGAACAATTTTTAGAAATTTTGTAGAAAAATTGTAAATCTGTATTTCATATTAATTTTTCAAATGCTATGTAGTTTTATTATAGAATAAATGTAAATTTTTTATAGATATTATGAAAATTCATACTTATATATATATATATATACTCTGACATGTAGTTTATTTGTAGTAAAAATATAGATAAAATGTAGGATATTGACATACAACCAGAATTTGATAGAAAAATTAACAGCACAAACCGGCAACTGTGTTCTCACTGGTGATAATCAATTCCATATTGCAATCACGAACAGTTATACATAGCGGATATGATCCTAAGTTTTTGTTTTTCTTTTTCGTCTCCATATATAGACGAACATCCATATCGTTCCTAATTTCCATTGGAGGACAATGCTCGTTGACAATGTATTTGATTTCTATAATTTTTTCGGATGTATCGATCATTAATTGTTGTGCTATTGTAGAAATCAATAGACTATAACTCGCATCCTCATCGACTACAATGCCATCGACTTGAAATTCTCTAAATCTCCCATAGCTATCCCAATTTTCATTCAGTTGTAGCATAATTGAGATTTTGGACATAATTGCGTATGTTGCAGAAAAATTGTAGAAGATTTTTAGTCGTTTTTGATTTGTGAAATCAGAAAAAAGTTTGAAACAGAGTATATCACAGAAAACAGAGTAGCTCAATTTGAAACAAAAACGACGATAATTATTAATGTGCGTGATTTGCGTTGTAGAAGATCTGGAAGAATATTTAATTCCCCAATTTTAGCGCGCTTAAATAAGGAAGCCTACAACTACAATGATTCCTTATTTAATGAATTGTCTATATTTTGTAGAAATACTATTAGCATGGCGGGTAATATGCAAACTATGAACATATTTGGTAATATAGTTTCATATATGGTATAGGAACGAAAATTTCCCTATAAGAAACTAGTGAATTTATCTGCGCTTCACGCGATTATAAAAAAATCAAAATGTCTAATGTCATAATTTATTAAAAAAATCAATCTTTGCTAATTAATTAAGTGTGCTTTTATACGAAGTGGAGAACTTAGTTTAATGTATAAAAATTTATACACATTTTGCACACATAATTTAAGAACTTTGTAAAAATTCAAAAAGGTCAAGGACATAAAAAAGTAAAAAGTTAATCTTATATAAATCGATACTGTAGAGTGATTCAAATTTCTTTTTTAGTATATCAATGTACATAAATTAAAGTCAAATAAATAAATTTAAAAATAACTTTAAGTTCTATATAATAAAGGTGTAAAAATATTTTCGCAATCAAATTCTTTAAAAGATAATTAGAAGTAACTCTAATAAATATCATTAATCGATAGCCTTAGACAAACTAAATTGTAGTATTAATTACGTAAGAAATTCATTATACTATCCGGCCATATAACTTTAATCCAGAAAAACAGTGTTCTTACTTTGGCAAACAAAGGCCAAAGTAAGAAGGATATTATAGAGTTTGCAGAGCTAAATTGCATACTATATATATGGTATCAAAAATTGATTTTCAACGAAGACCTTTCAAGAATTTCAATCGGAAATATTCAGAAGCTTGTGCTTAGAGATATGATAAAGCTACGTGAAAAAGCAACCTTCATGAAGATGAGGCTGTTCCTTTTATTGTTCGTACTCTCCATATTTCTTTCATTTTTAGTCAGTCTTTTCGAATTGATGTCCACTGTCCACTGATACAAGGGCCTTCAACATTTCTTGAATGTTAAAGGTTCTTTATTTTTTAGGAATGTTAAAAGTTTCTTCAATATCTATGAATAAGTACTTGAGATGATGAAAAAATTATACAGTTAGTTGTAATTATATGTACTTCACCTCGCAAAAAAAAATTGTGAATCTTCAAGAAAAGTAAGTGACTATAACTAACAATGAATTGCTTGTTCGATTTTCTTTATGTTTTTAGTTTCTTTAATTCCATCTCATGTTTTTTTTCTTTTTTTGAATAGGAGAAAAAAGATATACAGACATATTTAAACGTGACTTTTTCTTCATACAACCTCTAATTCCAATAAAAATATTATTGTATTTATGATTTAATCGATATAATAAAGTCAAACTTTGTATGCATATACTTATAAAAATCACATACTAATAAAATGCATAATCAAATGCTCGGATATTTCTCAAGTGTTATTTTCATTTTTCTTTCTCATATTCAAACTCTCCAACAAATGAGAAATTATATCCTTCCTTGAACAATTAACTTAATTATCCTTTTTTTTCTATTAATTTTATAAAAATCTCAAAAGTAACTCTCTTGATTATCATTTCTGCCATTACAACACAATAGAGAGGAGTCCAGAAAAATACCGTTTAAGAGATACATAGTTGTAAACTACATAGAGAAGCATAATAGATTTGAAAAAAATGGCGAGACAATCTTTTTAAAAATAGTCAAAAGGTCATTAAAAGGTGACAGGACACAAACCATATCAATTGTCATTTCTCAAATAATCTTGTCATACTCTTGCAAAAACACCAATAATGTAAAGAAAAAGTCGATAAAAAAGAAGAAGAAAAAAAAAGAGAACTTCTGTACAAAAAATTTCAAATGAAAAGGAGAAGGAATGGTCAAAGAAGAAGAGATGAGAGTGATGCAAAGGAAAAGATATGCTTTACTATTTATAGTAACCAATTTATAATCCCTAAGGGGCCGTTTGGTACGCGGGCTAAATTATAATCCCTGGACTAATTTATCCCACATGGGAGGTGAGATAATGTAATCCCAAGTTTGATGGGATATCGAATTAAATTTTTACCTTGTTTGGTTGAAGGTATACTGTCAACCAAACATGGTACGTGACGTAGATAACCTACCCATATGCATTAGTGGCTGCTTCCACGGCTCGAACCGTGACCTATAGATCACATGGAGATAATTTTACTGATAGAGTATGTAAAAAAGTGAAATTTGATTGATTATTTATCAAAATTTCAAAGAGAGAACAGGAACATACTTCCTCCGATTGGGAGAGTGTTTATTTTGACTCAAACGAAGAAATGCATACGAATATAGATTCTCTATCATGCTCATGAGTCTTGAGATAAGAATCTATGGAACTAAGGCGAATTTGTGAATGAAAGACACATTCAAAAGTGGAAAGGAGAGCGGATTGTTTGCTCTTGCAATGAAAAATTCATTGTTTCTGGATTGCATATTCTAATAAGTACATAACCACAAACTTGAACCAACTGTACTAAACAAGAGTATAAAATAATCAAAAGGAAAGAACCACTCATTCCCCAATTTAGGAGAAATTCTTTTCATCTCCATCAAACTAGACTTGCTGATTGCAGCATACAAAGAATGGACTAGTATTTTAACTTGGTGAGTGCACATACAACTACACCCATTTTTTTCTTCTTTGTAAAAATGGGTGCTGACAAACTAACTTAAAAACCACAACTATATATATTTCGAGAAAGGAAGTAAAAAATGCAGGTGTCCACTCCAACTATAAACTGCTCAAAACACCAAGTGGCATTGCAGGGCGAAATTGCTAATTTTCTTTATATTCTCATTGAAGAAAAAAAGAATTAACAACATCCAAGAGCGTGGTAGAGGAATTGGTAGACTCATCAGACTCGTGACCTGAGGTCGAAAGTTCAAATTCTGTCCCCACCTAGTTAAATGAGCCTCGTCCCATTCTTTCTATAGGTCAAACAACTTCCCAAGTAGATCAACATACATTATATGGTATAAGCCTGTCTGGGTGTGAGACCGACGACCTCAATATGAAAAGCATGATGGAATCAGCTCGATTAATTTTTGTCACCACGCTCTCACTTTAGCATCTGCCGAGCACATGTAAGTGAAAATTAACTTCTTTTTTACCGGGTTTCATTCAATTTGTTGTGGATTGAGTGATGGAAAAACCAACAAGTTACGGCTTCAAAGCCTTACCATTCCTTTGACTTCAACGTTTTCAATTCCTCATAGAATCTTCGGAGCTTTCCTAGCTACTGTGGCCAGCCACAAAGGAATATGTTGGAATGTCATTACAAAGGGTGATGTGATCTCCACCTCTAGTAGCCTAACTATCTACTCAACTATGGCTATTAGATAGAGCAAACTTCATCCATTTAAAGCTGCAGCCAAGTTTCCAACTTTTATACCATTATTAGAAGCAAAGTTTTCTCTGCAGTAGAAAGAAATTGTTGGCATGGACACAAAACCAACTGCTCTTTTCTTAGCCAAACACTTATAAGAAAAATCAAGATTCTTCTTATCATCATCTAACAAATACTCATTGATTGTTCTTTTGTAAGAACCAAACCACTTAGCTTGCATATAACTAAGTTGCCTCCAAGGTGGAACATAAATATCCATTTTCTTCATTGATTTTTTCATAGCTCTAGTCATTAGTTTCACCACTTGCTTCAATTCTTCCACTTTTCCAACAAATATTGAAGGGAAAATCTCGAGCAATGAAGTGTAGTAGGGTGTTGGTCGAGCTATTTCGAATTCTCTAGCAAGATAAACTTCGATTATATAGCGATTTTCGTTCATGTTAATGTCAATATACTCGTAATTTCCTGATGGAAGTTGACCATTTCTCTCCCATTTTGATTTGCACAGACCTATATATGAAGTATGAATTCAAGAAATGGATTAGTTACTTTCCAAGAAAATGCTTACAATAAGTAAAGTGGTGAGATAGGTTTAAGTAAATGTAGCTACTTATCTAAGATACTAGCATCAATTGACAATAGTGTAGCTGTGTAGATCCTTAATTGGGATTTGAAAGATGAAAATGTAGAGTTTTGAAATTTCTTTCTTCACCAACAAAGAAATGGAACAAAAGAAGTCATACCAACAAATTTGAATTAAAATCTAATTGATGTAAGAATAAGTGTAAAGGACATCTCGGTGTATGAAGCATCCCATATTCACGCAGGCTCTGGAGAAGAGCCGCACCACAAGGGGTGTGATGTAGGCGGCCTACGCTGATGCAAGCATCAGTGGCTGATTTCATGGCTCAAATCCGTGACTTTTCACACAGAGACAACTTTATCGTTGCTCCAAGGCTCCCCTTCTATATAAGAACAAGTGTATGACTTGAAAATCACTATTTATTCTTAGAAAACTCTAATTTACCTCAAAAAATAAGAATAGAACTTAACATAATGAAATGGATTAAATTGTTCATTTACTAATCAATTCAGTAATTTGTATTCAAATTTTTTTTTCTCAATAATTGTGATTAAGACATAATTAACTTAGAACTTACCAGCATCAAATCCTTTATTACGCAACCGAGTGATCAACCGCCGTTTGAACTCCGCCGTACTCCAATCGCCAATTTCAAGCCATGCATTTTCCACGACGGAATGAATATTTCTCTTCACATAATCACTTTCTTCATAACCTAATAATTTCCTTAACTTCTCCTTAATCTCTAAATCATCAAAATAATTATTGCTTAATCCATTTTCTTCTTTCTCATTATCATCATTAATAATCTTTTCTTCATTTCTTCCTCCTCTAAATCCATTTCCTCTTTCAATAAACGAATTCACAAGACCGTACAAATCCGTCACGCTCTCAACCGACGAATGCTCGCTACCACTGCTTTCGCAAAATCTCGCCTTTGCCACGTCATCAAATGCCGCGGCTACCCTCTTAAACCTCATTTTTATACCCGATAGAAAGAGTTTAATTTTTATGCACCGACAATAAAATAATCACTTTGTAACGAGGAGAAATGTCACTTCTTGTGCTTTCTTGATGTTGTGAGAAAATAGGCTATTGACAATCTATAGAGTTTTTGCTTGATATATAGATGAAGAAATTATCTACGTTGCTCAAACATATATATAGTAAATACTATTTACATAGAGATAGGTGTAGGTACATCATTGGTTCTATATGATTTTGCATGGTTTCAGTATTTTGGCTTAAAGGGCACGACCAATGTATCTGGACATAATTTACGGACTGGTTCATTTTGTTTAGTTTTGTTGTCCTATTAAGTGATAATTATTAAATAAATGGCTTATCAATCGGATAATCACTTACATGTCCTAATAATATAGATTATCTGTCTTCCCATAGAACTATACAAAAAATTTTGAGAGTCAAATGATGTTATATTCCGAATATGATTTTTCAAATATTCAACCATAGAAAGTTGTGATTCTAATAGATTATCATATTTTTTATGTGGCAATGTTCTAATTAAGTATGTTATTTTTTTGCTAAAGAATAAATAAAGATTAATATTTGAGTTCCTACGTATTTTCAATTCTCGGCTATATTTTTCTTCAAATTGGGGTCTTTCTATACAAGCACCGCGGACATTATTTATTTAAGGTTTCACAATTCCAAAATGAAGAAATATAATTTATCATATATAGATAAATGATAAAATTGATGTAAATATATATATATATATATATATTAATTAACTATTACTAAGTAAGATATGTAAGTAAATTAAACCTGTCAAGTATCATTCGATTATAGGTTTAATTTTTTTTTTTAACTCGAAAACAAATTCAAGTTACTTGAGAAACTCACCTGGTGAGCAATAAAATTAATATACCATAGTTGAGTAATAAAATTAAACTTTATTCAAATGACAAATAGTTTGCATTAATAGACTTGCCCTGAACATGATACAAAATTCTTCGCAATTTATTCAAAATAATTTAAAATTGATGAAACTAAAGTCGTTCAGAAATTTTGAGAAGGAAATGTAAAAAAAAAAAAAAAAAAAAAAAAAAAAAAAACATGATAAACTACTCAGGGAAGTGGCTATTGGAAGACGTAAATCTTGCAAGATTAGCCATCTTTTCCTATATTTTTCTTCTTCTTTTATTTCTAGGGTATTAAATGGATGGGCAAGTTCAATAAATTTAGAATTCCGTCCAGATACATTGAATTTCAATTTCTAACCACAGTTATGCTACTCTTTTCACTAATCATTTGGTTTAAATAATGGATAATCAAGAAAGATTGTTGATTTTGTTATGAATAGTTTGTACATTGGATACTACTTTGGATACTACATTGGATGCTATATTGGATACCCATGTTGTGAATAACTTAAAGATTAAATTTCCTATTTTATGTCCATCATCTTTACTTTTTATGCCTATAAAAGGCCATGTAATTGCAATGAAAAATTACAACAAAGTGAAAGAAGAAAACACTTCTCCATTCTCTCTATCTCTTCTTGTTTAGATTTTACTGCATTGCTTTTATTATATAACACGTTATCAGCACGAAGCTCTAATTTTATTCTTAACTCCCGCTAAGTTGAGCCATATTTTATTAAGGTATATATCATTATAATCATTTTATTTATGGCAGTACATATCATATGCTCATTGTTTGCAGATTACTTGTGCGCTTGGGCATCTTAAATAGTTTAAGTACATTGCAGTGATAAAATAACTATTTCCTTCCATGCTCGACTCTTAGAGGACCTCAAAGTCATCAAACTGGCTATGCACTAATGTCATACTTATAATATTCATGGACTCCCTAGATCAAAACATATCTTTAAGGCATTTTGAAGAACTGTGAGAAATAAATTGACAAGCAATAATTTTATAGTTTAATTACTTTATATTTATTGGAACATATAAATAATGTTAGTCACGTTCAGTTCTATTAACACATATATATCAATAATATAAAGTGAAATGAAACAAGTATGTAATTTCTACTTTATGGCAAGAATAAAATGAAATAGTAGATTGTTTACATGATATAGCTCTATTTTCATTTCTTTTACCTTAGTCGTTTTGTTTTCATTAATTGTTTATTATTATAATTATTTCTCTAACTTATTCATCTTTTATGATAGTTTTTACTATGTCAAATTTATCAAAACTTGAATTTGTGGCACTTGACATCACCGGGGGGAACTATTTATCATGGGTTCTTGATGCTGAAATTCACCTTGATGCTAAAGGTCTTGGAAATACTATTATACAAGGAAATGAAGCATCAAATCAGGATAAAGCGAATGCCATGATTTTCTTTCATCATCATTTACATGAAGGGTTAAAAACTGAATATTTAACCGTAAAAGATCCACTTGAATTATAGATTAATTTGAAGGATCGATATGACCACCTAAAACTTACGGTATTACCGAAAGCTCGATATGAGTGGATACATTTAAGGTTGCAAGACTTTAAAACCGTAAGTGAGTATAATTGTGTTATCTTTAAAGTAAGTTCTCTATTAAAATTATGTGGAGATACTATCACAGATGAAGACTTATTGGAAAAAATATTTTCTACTTTTCACGCTTCAAATGTGGTGCTACAACAACAATACCGTGAAAAAAGTTTTAAGAAATATTCTGAGTTAATCACATGCCTACTTGTGGCTGAGCAGAATAATACTCTATTAATGGAAAATCATGAAGCCCGTCCCACTGGGTCAGCTCCATTTTTGGAAGTGAATGCTGTAGCAACATATGGTAAGTTTGAAAGAAAATAAAATAATTACCGTGGTCGTGGACATTGTCGTAAACGTGGACGTGGCAGGGGCGAAACAATTATCGTCAATATGGTGGAAATAAATTGGAGAACAATAAGGGTTCTCAAAT